TAATTTGGTTGGGACTGTACATATTAATGAACACATCACTCCTGATTGTAGCGTTGGGCTCATTTGCATATTGTTCCACATTCACGCTCACAACCAAACTATTGCTATTATTTTAGTGGTAGGGAAAACCGGAGCACCCAGAGGAAACCCTACACAGACACGGGGAGAACATGCAAACTCCACTCAGAAAGGTCTTGCTCCGACTCTGATTCGAACCCAGAACCTTCTTGCTGAGTAGCGAGAATTCTATCGACTCAGCCACTGTGCCACCCTGTGAAAAATAATCATAATTATCATTCAAACACAAGACATTCAATCATACAAAAAGATTGGTCCATAGGGAGCGGGATGTTCATTGTCCACAAATGTTTCTAAATGTCCTTCTCTGTCCTGGATCCTCACTTTGCTCAGACCTCCTTGTTCTAGAAGAAAAAAACACAGTGGGAAAAAGTGGGAACCCTCAAAGAAGTGAGAGCTACGTATGATTTAAGTTTAAAACACAATTTTTAACTTAAACTGTGCATTTGTTTTTCCGTCTGATCCTTGTCGTGTTGGTGACATGAAACCTGCAGAAACCATAATAAAACCACAGACACATTGTTGAAGAAGTATCTCCTGCTTTGGCATCATTAAAGCCCATTCATGTATTTACTAGCAATAGCAGCTCATACAGTCTCTCATATGTGCAAATATATTTATCTGTGTTGTTAATATGATCCTGTACTTTCACTCTTGCACTGGTCAGACGCTAATCTGCATTTCGTTGCATTGTTCTGACTTTGTAATGTCGATAAAGTTGAATCTAATCCAATCTAATCTAATTAAAATAACACCTTTAAGGAAAGTTGCAGGATTTTTCAGCTCCCGTGAGTTAGTGACAAATCTGAAAATATGTAGAATCTTATTGACCTCTTCAATCCTCACGTTTTCATCTGCACCTTTTGACTGCTTTTTTCATCCTTCAAACCAACTTATAACCGGCTGCAAAGTGAGAAGCGCCTGAATACGAGCGCTTTAGCCGCTGACTCTGATGTGCAGTAAAATATATCAGACTGCAGGAATCACTACTGAATTACACCCTCTAAGCTTTTTGTAATCGTAAAAATGTGGGCTTTCTGCTGTGCCTAAGAAACACATCCATCATTCAGGTGCAGAGCCATTGCCAAAGTCGGAAAAGACATCTGTATTTAAGTTCCTCGGGAGAAAGATAACACCACGTATGAGTTATTGAAGACAAACCATCCTCGGACAGACTGAGATCGGCCTGTGCATATTTAAGTTCAGTACTCACAGAAAAAACCAGGCACAGATCTTAACAACTTTGAGCTCAATTTTAGCCTCCAATGTAAACGATCATTGCTGGTCCAACACGTGGCCTTCACAAAGACCCTCTGTAGTTAGCACCTAAAGTGTGAACGCTCGGCTCTCTCTCCCGCCTTTTTATAAACAATGTGCACAGCCAAGGGAAACATCATAATCCAGTTATTTACTTAGAAAAGATGTAATCGCCAGGGCTGGATATCTCCCTGTGCATCTGCTGGGGAGGCACTGGGAGCTTTGGTGTTGGGGGTTTTGCTTCCTCGAATTATCAGACCACATTTTGCCTTTTTCTGTTAAGATACATTCAATGAGGTTTAACTGTTGCTGATGAAAAACAAAACTAGTGTCAGTCAAGTTTAATCTGACAAAAATAGATCAGGAAATAAAGGAGATTCTAGCTATTGTGACAAAGTTAGGAGAAATGTGGCCAAAAGTGGTACTGCAGCCTCTCCCACTCTCCCTGACTCAGGTTGCCAGATATGCAGACGAATCCAGCTGGGACCATAACAGCTGAATAGACAAGAGTTTTGTCAACAACAAATCTATAACCAACACCTTTTTCACAAAGATAGAAATCCTGGTTTTATTCCTTGTTTTGTCGTTAATGATTTGAGAATCATAACGAGACCTTGGTCCAGAACACTCAGCATTGACACACATGTGGAACGGAGCTTTGGGCCAAGAGCCAACTTTTGGACCATCCTGTAAAGACGTTTTCCAGAGGTCAGCTAATGCTATATGTAACCATTGGCTAATTCTTCTTCTGGGTCCACCCCCACAGGCCCGGGGTGGTACTGCAGCATGTCAGCGCACGTCATTTTGGCCGGGACCCGCCCCCTCTGCTCTAAACACAGAATATCTGCCAGAGTCATCACTAAATGACGGTGAGGCAGTGAGCGAGGGGGCTTCCATCTTGTGGCAAACATATTTCTGGCTGCTGTAAAGTGACAAGGATTTTATTACATGATTATATTTTGTGGTTGGAAAGTTCAGTACACGCCAGCTTTAGCGTACACAAAGTCATAATGAGGCATGTATTTAAAAGTGTAACGTGAAGAACATGCACTTTGCAAACAGCAGAACAGATGTAGCTGGTTATGTCCATCGTTAGCACTATGAGCCGTATTACTATGCAGGTTATCTATTTATACACGGGCTCAGTATTGTACGTATGCTTGTATTCTATGTTGGTCCCCATCTGGTCCAACAGGTGCGCCCTTACATGCAGCCTAAGCACTTTGAAAATGTTACTCCATAAATCAATTTAGTTATAATTACAGACAACACTATTCGTCATTCAGCGAGGGCTCGTATCGCGTCGTCCGAAATGATTAGCATAGCAATCTATTTCCACCGATAGAGTGATCAAATTGGGGACCCTTCTCTTTCATCCCAGTCCAAACATTTGTGTTCGCTTGTGTGCTGATCCCAATCATTCATATTGAAATTATTATGGGACTACACGGACTTGTACAGATTAATATAACTCAAACTATTATTACGAGAGGGATTGAAATTACAAGTTATGAACATGGGTCTATATATAATCTGCTTCTGATACTAAACAGTTTTACACTTCTTCGCACCAGAAAGAGCAAATCCATGAAGATTTTAAACTGATAATTTGAAGATTAAGAGATTAAGAGAGATCCTTTGTTCGTGGGGAAATTCCAGTGTAGCATCGCAAGATACAGAACAGTTGATTGAAGTTGTTTGCGCCGAGAGCCAAAGCAAATACAGAGTTTGTGACTTCCTGTTGCTCATTTGGCAATAAAAGGATTCTGATTCTGATTATTGGTTATTATAAGTATTTACAATATTTACATTCTTTAGTTTACAAAGTTTTTATACATGTTTCCGTCTTTGTTTACAGTATGTAACATACATATACCATCAAGTAACAATAATTTCAAAATCAATGTGTATTTATTAATGACTATTTACCATTTGTCAGCTCAAAATGAAGCGGGAAGTAAAAAAAAAAAACATTTGGAATGAGCACCCAGCATAAGATACATAAGTATAGCACAATTCTACACTTTAGTAAAAAAACAAAAATAAAATCTCAAACTTTAGCTTATTAAAGATACAAAGTAGAATGGAGAGAATACAGTCAGAACAGACTGGTTTTTATTATTTTAATCATGGAGGCGACACACAGCACAACACACACAATATATGTTTGATGTCATACACTGTAAATACATTTACTTTGAGCATAATTTACACAACAGCTGATCGGGACATGACACCAGAAGAAGACACACACAGGAAGTATCCGCAGGCGCAGGTGTGTGTGCGTGTGTGTGTGCCTGTGTGTGTGCGTGTGTATGTGTGTGTGCGTGTGTGTGTGTGTGCCTGTGTGTGTACTTGTGTATGTGTGTCTATGTATGCGTGTGTGCGTGTCTGTGTATGTGTGTGCGTGTGTGTGTCTGTCTGTGTGTGTGTGTGTGTGTGCCTTTGTGTGTGTGTCTGTGTGTGTGTGTGTGTGCCTGTGTGTGTGTGTCTGTGTGTGTGTGTGTGTGCCGTGCTGTGACCCTGTGAAACCTCCTCGCCGCACACACGGTGAGGACCCTCCTCGCCGCACACACGGCACAGACCCTCCTCGCCGCACACACGGCACAGACCCTCCTCGCCGCACACACGGTATAGACCCTCCTCGCCGCACACACGGCACAGACCCTCCTCGCCGCACACACGGTGAGGACCCTCTCTCTCGCTGCGGTGTAACCGTAGCCGAGCAGAGGACGGAGGTGACTGAAGCAGGGCCCAGAGAAATGCAGTCAGAGGAATGTTCCACTTGACCATCCAGAGCATACCATGTGTAGGAGAGACGCCCTCTGGTTTCACTGAGCGACTGATGTGGCAGCAACACAACTTCTGAGCCAATAAAGAGCGGCTGAAGTGTTAAACCCTGACACTTACACACACAGTTTGAAAATGTTCATTATATTCATCACCAATCATAATATTCATTATCATTCTCTGTAAAGTATTTACCTGATTAAACGGGCTCACCGAAGCTCAAAGAAAGTGTCACTTATTTATTATTATATAATAAATAAGTGATAAATTATTATATAATTTATTATTATTTATTATTATATAATAAACAAGTGTGTTATTTTGTCCACAACACAATAAAGCTATAGTTTCTTTTCTCAGTCCATTCAGATGGAGGCCAGGACCATAAACCGCTCACACACATTTTTTAAATAAATTCCATTTCTTGTAAGAGCTTTATGGGTTTGACTTTGGCCAACCCTGGCACTTCTGAGAGGTTTGCATGTTGCTCTCCATGTCTGGATGGGTTTCCTCCAGGTGCTCCGGTTTCCCCATCACGTCACCACAGACAGTGGAGTGAATGTAAAGCACATTATTATGAAGTGCATCTAGCGCTTCATGAAGTGCATCCAGGGGGCGCAAGTGTATCTAGCGCCCCCTGTGGCTGTCTGTGGGAATGTGCTCCAACACTGTGGCTTTTTGGACCTTGTTTAGATTCAGTTTTTCATTTCCTTCTTGAAGTGGTGGTTTTGACACACAATTAATACCATTATTTTATACAAATGTCAGAGGAACATGTGTTAAAAAGAGGCTGTAAATCTAATTTACAGTTGTATTTATTCTCACATTGGAACATCAGCGCCTCCGTCTGTGGACAAAGTGCCTCCGTCTCCTTCATGTGCAGGACACTGTGGACAAAGTGCCTCCGTCTCCTTCATGTGCAGGACACTGTGGACAGAGACAAAGTGCCTCCGTCTCCTTCATGTGCGGGACACTGTGGACAAAGTGCCTCCGTCTCCTTCATGTGCGGGACACTGTGGACAAAGTGCCTCCGTCTCCTTCATGTGCAGGACACTGTGGACAGAGACAAAGTGCCTCCGTCTCCTTCATGTGCGGGACACTGTGGACAAAGTGCCTCCGTCTCCTTCATGTGCGGGACACTGTGGACAAAGTGCCTCCGTCTCCTTCATGTGCAGGACACTGTGGACAAAGTGCCTCCGTCTCCTTCATGTGCAGGACACTGTGGACAGAGACAAAGTGCCTCCGTCTCCTTCATGTGCAGGACACTGTGGACAAAGTGCCTCCGTCTCCTTCATGTGCAGGACACTGTGGACAGAGACAAAGTGCCGGGTGCACAGGAGGCTGCACTCTGAAGCACAAACATACTTTATAGTGTATTCTCTTGAAACAAAGTGATTGAATTTCAAAATGACCGGTTTATTTTTAGTTTAAAATAGGATCGATGGTATTGAATGTGTAGAAAGTGACTTCATGTTTTCCAAGATGAACATTACAAACTCGTTTAACGACAAATTAGTCAATATTGTAAGAGGTCTACACATGAACAAACCTCTCTCAATTCACGGTTGTGACCATTTAATTATCAAACAAGACCCGGTAAACCAAGATATCACCAACGCCGACACCCGTGTGTTTGCCATCAGGTGCTAAAACGAAGGACTGATTTATTAAGCTCTAATTGTTGGTGTGGATGTCTCTCTGTCAGACACGGGCTGGGGTTACTGACAGACCCTGAGTGTGAACTTTTGTCAGCCACAGACTGAAAGCGCCCTCAAACCTCCCACTGGGGAAAGAATATTTGTGAAAAGTTGCAAACTTGTTACCACCAAACTCCAAACTGCTGCTGTTGTTTTGTCTCTGATGATTAATGAGAGGGCAGGTCGAGGGGCACAGACAGAAACTGGAGATGAGTGGACAGACAGGGCTGAGTGGAGGCAGTTGGACTAAAATACCCGGCGTGGGAGGTCGGCAAGGGCAGCAGGAGAGGGCAGCAGGAGAGGGCAGCAGGAGAGGGCAGCAAGAGAGGGCAGCAGGAGAGGGCAGCAGGAGAGGGCAGCAGGAGAGGGCAGCAGGAGAGGGCAGCAGGAGAGGGCAGCAGGAGAGGGCAGCAGGAGAGGGCAGCAGGAGAGGGCAGCAGGAGAGGGCAGCAGGAGAGGGCAGCAGGAGAGGGCAGCAGGAGAGGGCAGCAGGAGAGGGCAGCAGGAGAGGGCAGCAAGAGAGGGCAGCAGGAGAGGGCAGCAGGAGAGGGCAGCAGGAGAGGGCAGCAGAGAGGGCAGCAGGAGAGGGCAGCAGGAGAGGGCAGCAGGAGAGGGCAGCAGGAGAGGGCAGCAGGAGAGGGCAGCAGAGAGGGCAGCAGGAGAGGGCAGCAGGAGAGGGCAGCAGGAGAGGGCAGCAGGAGAGGGCAGCAAGAGAGGGCAGCAGGAGAGGGCAGCAGGAGAGGGCAGCAGGAGAGGGCAGCAAGAGAGGGCAGCAGGAGAGGGCAGCAGGAGAGGGCAGCAGGAGAGGGCAGCAGGAGAGGGCAGCAAGAGAGGGCAGCAGGAGAGGGCAGCAGGAGAGGGCAGCAGGAGAGGGCAGCAGGAGAGGGCAGCAGGAGAGGGCAGCAGGAGAGGGCAGCAAGAGAGGGCAGCGGGAGAGGGCAGCAGGAGAGGGCAGCAGGAGAGGGCAGCAAGAGAGGGCAGCGGGCAAGGGCAGCAGGCAAGGGCAGCAGGCAAGGGCAGCAGGAGAGAGCAGCAGGAGAGGGCAGCAGGAGAGGGCAGCAGGCAAGGGCAGCAGGCAAGGGCAGCAGGAGAGGGCAGCAGGAGAGGGCAGCAGGAGAGAGCAGCAGGCAAGGGCAGCAGGCAAGGGCAGCAGGAGAGAGCAGCAGGCAAGGGCAGCAGGCAAGGGCAGCAGGAGAGGGCAGCAGGAGAGAGCAGCAGGAGAGAGCAGCAGGAGAGGGCAGCAGGAGAGAGCAGCAGGCAAGGGCAGCAGGCAAGGGCAGCAGGAGAGGGCAGCAGGCAAGGGCAGCAGGAGAGGGCAGCAGGAGAGGGCAGCAGGCAAGGGCAGCAGGCAAGGGCAGCAGGCAGAGGGCAGCAGGCAGCAGGAGAGGGCAGCAGGCAAGGGCAGCAGGAGAGAGCAGCAGGAGAGAGCAGCAGGAGAGGGCAGCAGGCAAGGGCAGCAGGCAAGGGCAGCAGGAGAGGGCAGCAGGAGAGGGCAGCAGGAGAGGGCAGCAGGCAAGGGCAGCAGGAGAGGGCAGCAGGACAGGGTTGGCGAGGGTAGCAGGAGAGGGTAGCAGGCGTGGGAGGTTGGCCAGGGCAGCAGGCGTGGGAGGTTGGCCAGGGCAGCAGGCGTGGGAGGTTGGCCAGGGCAGCAGGAGAGGGCAGCAGGCGTGGGAGGTTGGCCAGGGCAGCAGGACACCCCGAGCATGACCAACTGTACATAGAGCCGAAAAGCACGGGCTCAGAACACTGACTTGTCTGAGGAGGCTATTTGCAGAACAGAAATTCAGCTTCGGACACACTCTGTCATCTGATGATGGATCAGCCACAGGAGCAGATCAGATGAGCCCGGGACAGGGGCCGAGGGGTGGGCATGGAGGAGGAAAACAAACCTCCATGTGCTGAGCTGTGTCAAAGCTCTGACAATCACAGTCCTTCACCGAGCTTTTCACCGAGCTGCTCCGGCCTCAAGAAAATACTGTTTTATATCTCCTCAAATGTGCAGGAGGCCTTAGGAGGGGGGTGTCACTTATTATTACTGATATAAGTGTTTCTTTGCATCTCTTGTGAAAGCTAATTGCATTGTTTTAGTACCTGATAATGCTCAGACATGACAAATGAATGTGTTTTATTGGTGTAACAGTGTAAATGTGAGTGTGGAGGGTGTCATTCGAGGTGCACGGCATTCCAAACCTTTGGATCAGTGAAATACGTTCTCGGTGTGACATTGAGGTAACAATCTTTGAAGTTTATCCCCGTGAGCCGGTTAGGACACGGTGCATACTGCCCATTCTTCATGTGTTGCTGTCCCAGGACGGTGCCCTTCATTATCTTGGCCCTTTAGTGTCTTCAGTTAAACAGCCGAATGTGTGGCATAGCAGCACTGACCCCACAGGGCAGAAGTCATCAGGGTCTGTCACTGGTCCCTGGTCCCATGTCCCTGAAGATCTCCTGATTTATACACAGACTCCAAATTTACGACTTGTCAAATCCTGTCTGTTAACAGCGGATGAGGAGAATAGAGCAGCAGTGAAGTGTTCATAAGGACACACTCAGAACAGTCTGCTGCATGTGTTCTAGAAGTTGGAGGTTTGAGCCCCAGGGCAGCGTTGGCTCTGCACTGGCTCCACCGCGGGTCAATAAAGATGATCTGCCTTGAACAGCTCAGACTTGATTTTCTGAAACGTATTGTGTCTGAAGTAAAACTCAACAGCTGCAGTCTTTAATTCACCTTTTTATGAATGAAAAAACATATAATAACTGTGCTGAATGTCCAGTGCAGATAAAAGTTGACGAGCTGCCGTGTCTGGCCCACGGCAGCACCTGGTGCAGTGAACCCAGCGTATAAATTCCCATCATAAGGAGAGGGGAAGTGCCACATAGCTCAGTGTCATTTTTTTAAGATGTGAGGAAATGGCGGCGCACTTGATTTCCTCATGAAATACAGCAATACTTCAAACAGTGTTCTGCAACATGAGATCATGAGACGGACAACAGCCAAACACTTACTCTCTTAGAAACACTCCAACCCAAAACATTAAGTAGACATACATTAGGAAGAAGAAGAAGGTCCTTTATACTGTATGTCCCAATAAGTATCAGTTTGATGCACCTGTTTCTGATACAACACAATTACAACACAATACATTTTATTCTTGTATAGCCCTATAAATCACAACAGCATCATCTCAGAGACTTAACAAAACCATTGAAATCACCAACACAGATCAGAGAATCAACAGTTAAGACACAGAAAGAATATAGAACACGTGTTGATAAATGTCATACATGTAGAATGTTAAAGTGTCCTGGATCATCACAGTCCTTCTAGTTGGACACTAACTGTCCAACAGACCCTCCTGCATCAGAGGAAAGACTCATAAGAAAACCCAGTGGGAAAAAGTGAGAAACCTCGGGGAGACCCATGGTTTGAGAAAGGGATCCACTCCCACGGGCGGGCGGGCTGTAGATCCAGGACCTAAACTACAGAACGTGAACCAGCGGCCATAGTTGGCAGTTTGATACACACATACACATACTGTACATATACACACATACACATATACATATACATACATACACATATACACACATACTGTACATATACACACATACACACATACACATACTGTACATATACACACATACACATACTGTACATATACACACATACACATATACAAATACTGTACATATACACATTCACATACACATAAAGGCAATCAGAGAAAATCACTTCCGCGCTCCTTATAGGCAAAGTGGGTTAAGTGTCTTGCCCAAGGACACAACGACAGCAGACATGGCCAATCTATAACTGTTGTCATTACTGAGTCGAGGCAGCTCAGATAGAAAACTATATTATATGTTTTACAGCTTCAGGAAAAGTCCTTGAGGCATTACCATAAGTTTGGAGCACAACTGGAACGACTGGAACGACTGGAACGATTGGAACGACTGGAACGACTGGAACGACTGGAACGACTGGAAGACTGAAACGCCTGGAACGACTGGAACGACTGGAACGACTGGAACGATTGGAACGATTGGAACGACTGGAACGCCTGGAACGACTGGAACGATTGGAACGACTGGAACGCCTGGAACGACTGGAACGACTGGAACGACTGGAACGCCTGGAACGACTGGAAGACTGAAACGCCTGGAACAACTGGAACGACTGGAACGACTGGAACGATTGGAACGACTGGAACGACTGGAACGCCTGGAACGACTGGAACGATTGGAACGACTGGAACGCCTGGAACGACTGGAACGACTGGAACGACTGGAACGCCTGGAACGACTGGAAGACTGAAACGCCTGGAACGACTGGAACGACTGGAACGACTGGAACGCCTGGAACGACTGGAACGACTGGAACGACTGGAACGACTGGAACGACTGGAACGCCTGGAACGACTGGAACGACTGGAACGACTGGAAGACTGAAACGACTGGAACGACTGGAACGACTGGAAGACTGGAACGACTGGAACGACTGGAATGACTGGAACGCCAGGAACGACTGGAACGACTGGAAGACTGAAACGACTGGAACGACTGGAACGACTGGAACGACTGGAACGACTGGAAGACTGAAACGACTGGAACGGCTGGAACGACTGGAACGACTGGAACGACTGGAAGACTGGAACGACTGGAACGACTGGAACGACTGGAACGACTGGAAGACTGAAACTAACTGTCCAACAGACCCTCCTGCATCAGAGGAAAGACTCATAAGAAAACCCAGTGGGAAAAAGTGAGAAACCTCGGGGAGACCCATGGTTTGAGAAAGGGATCCGCTCCCACGGGCGGGCTGTAGATCCAGGACCTAAACTACAGAACGTGAACCAGCGGCCATAGTTGGCAGTTTGATACACACATACACATACTGTACATATACACACATACACATATACATATACATACATACACATATACACACATATACACACATACACATACTGTACATATACACATTCACATACACATAAAGGCAATCAGAGAAAATCACTTCCGCGCTCCTTATAGGCAAAGTGGGTTAAGTGTCTTGCCCAAGGACACAACGACAGCAGACATGGCCAAACTATAACTGTTGTCATTACTGAGTCGAGGCAGCTCAGATAGAAAACTATATTATATGTTTTACAGCTTCAGGAAAAGTCCTTGAGGCATTACCATAAGTTTGGAGCACAACTGGAACGACTGGAACGACTGGAACGATTGGAACAACTGGAACGACTGGAACGACTGGAACGATTGGAACGACTGGAACGACTGGAACGACTGGAACGATTGGAACGACTGGAACGACTGGAACGACTGGAACGACTGGAAGACTGAAACGCCTGGAACGACTGGAACGACTGGAACGATTGGAACGATTGGAACGACTGGAACAACTGGAACGACTGGAACGACTGGAACGATTGGAACGACTGGAACGATTGGAACGACTGGAACGACTGGAACGCCTGGAACGACTGGAAGACTGAAACGACTGGAACGACTGGAACACTGGAACGACTGGAACGACTGGAAGACTGAAACGACTGGAACGACTGGAAGACTGAAACGCCTGGAACGACTGGAACGACTGGAACGACTGGAACGACTGGACGATGGAACGACTGGAACGATGGAACGACTGGAAGACTGGAACGCAGGAACGACTGGAACGACACATATACACACATATACACACTACACATGAACGACATAAAGGCAAACAGAGAAAATCACTTGGCTCCTTATAGCAAGTGGTTAAGTGTCTTGCCAAGGACACAACGACAGCAGACATGGAACTATAACTGTTGTCATTACTGAGTCGAGCAGCTCAGATAGAAAACTATATATATGTTTTACAGCTTCAGGAAAAGTCTTGGCATACCGTTGGAACGACTGGAACGACTGAACGAAACTGAACACTGGAACGACTGGAACGACTGGAACGACTGGAACGACTGGAACGACTGGAACATGGAAGACGACTGGAACGACTGGAACGACTGGAACGACTGAAGACTGAAGCTGGAACGACTGGAACGACTGGAACGAGATGAACGATTGGAACGACTGGAACAACTGGAACGACTGGAACGACTGGAACGATTGGAACGACTGGAACGATTGGAACGACTGGAACGACTGGAACGCCTGGAACGACTGGAAGACTGAAACGACTGGAACGACTGGAACAACTGGAACGACTGGAACGACTGGAAGACTGAAACGACTGGAACGACTGGAAGACTGAAACGCCTGGAACGACTGGAACGACTGGAACGACTGGAACGACTGGACCGATTGGAACGACTGGAACGATTGGAACGACTGGAATGACTGGAACGCCAGGAACGACTGGAACGACTGGAAGACTGAAACGACTGGAACGACTGGAACGACTGGAACGACTGGAACGACTGGAACGACTGGAACGACTGGAACGATTGGAACGACTGGAACGACTGGAACGCCTGGAACGACTGGAACGACTGGAACGACTGGAACGACTGGAACGATTGGAACGACTGGAACGACTGGAACGCCTGGAACGACTGGAACGACTGGAACGACTGGAAGACTGAAACGACTGAAACGACTGGAACGACTGGAACGACTGGAACGACTGGAACGACTGAAACGACTGGAACGACTGGAACAACTGGAACGATTGGAACGACTGGAACGACTGGAACGCCTGGAACGACTGGAACGAC